TCAAGGCGCCTTGCATGGTTTTCCGCAGCAGCAGCAGTTGCAGCTGATCAATCAAGTCGTCCCTCTGCCACAATCCATTTACCATTCTGACAGACCGACAGACAGTCTCCTTCTCTGTCTGTCTGTCTCCGAGGTTGGACACAAATCTAGTCTATATTTTTTCAAGAACACCACCACAATCGTCTACAATCTGATGATCATCTGACACTGTCTGGCTAATTAGAAGAAAACTGAAAGACTGATGATGACGAGTAGAAAACATTATGACAATGCACTGGTGCAGCTTAGTTTAGCCTTTTTTGTAGTTTCTGGGTACTTCAACGAGCACTGCAAAAAAGCTGTTGAAATGATGTTCAGCCTTCAAAGGTGAGGCTGTTGCCATGGCAGCATCATCCTTTTCATCATCGTGCATATAAAAATACATAAAGAAATGACAACGACTGTGTTTGCACACCCGAAATCATTCTAATTTTACCATAATGTTGCCACAACTTCTGCTGCTGCTGCTGCTGCCTATCAAATTAGCCTCCCAATAGGTAAGCTTGAATCACGAATTTCGTTCACATCGAGCACTGATGCCAATTTAATTCGCTCTCTCAATTCATAGCCCAACTGAACTGAGCCATCTTCTCTCTTGCACTGAGCAAGAGAGTGTCGACAAGCGTCAGCGTTTGTATGACTACTACTACTACTAGTACAATCAGTCTGTCAGCACATTCTTCTCATTCAGCAACGGAATAAAAAGGCTGTCTCCCTCCCCTTTTCTCAGCAGAGCACATTGCACCAGTGGCCAACTGTCTACTGAATCTCTTGTACAATAGCAGCGGCAGCAACACACTCGATTGCATTCGGCAATCACACACCGGCAAGAGCCAGAAAGAAAGACAAAGACAGTGTGTCTGCAAATTGGCTAGCAACAACAGAAAGAACAGCAGCTTCGATATAATAAAAAAAGTGCAATCACTGCCAGCTTTATTAGTGTTGTTTGCAAGCCAACTGGGTAGAGCTAGCTCATCAGCGGCAAGAGCCGAAGCCAAAACACAGGCAGACTGACTACTAGCTCAGTGACTAGTGCAGCAGCAGCAGTCAGAAATATCAGTCAAAAATAGGCAGTCTCTCTCTCTCTGAAATGCCTGCTCTTACTTTCTCTCTTTCACTTCAATGGGAAAAGATGTAGTACAAACAATACAGCTCTTTTCACCGCCGCCACCACCCACCCGATTGCACAAACAGTTTCAGTGGCAATGCAACGGTGCTGAAGAAGAAGAAGAAGAAGAAGAAGGGAGGAAAAAGTGATTCTAAAGTTGAAGAAGCAGAAGAAGTAGAATAAAAGTAGGCAGCCCAGTAAAAGCCTTCAGAGTTAGAGTTCTTCATTTCATTTCAGCACCACCGCCACCACAACTTTGCCTGCTTGCTTTCTGTTGTAAGTGCTCTCAATTTTAAATCTAAAATCACGGTTAAAAAAGCTTTCGTGCTCCTAAATTGTTCCCCAGTGAAATTTCTTTTCTCTCTTTCTAACTCTGGTGCTATTTTTCGCCTGTTCCAGAAACCTCAAAACCCCAACTCCTAACCAAGTTTTCTAAAAGATGCCCTTCAAGGCCCCCGAAGTAGCCAAGTGCGGCAAGTGCGAGAAGAGCGTCTACGCCGCCGAGGAGGTCCTCGCCGGTGGTCTCAAGTGGCACAAGGCCTGGTAAGAAAGAGAAAGAAATACACTTTTTTNCAGCAGCACCACCGCCACCGCCAACTTTGCCTGCTTGCTTTCTTTTGTAAGTGCTCTCAATTTTGAATCTAAAATCACAGTAAAAAAAGCTTTCGTCCTCCTAAATTGTTCCCCAGTGAAATTGTTTCTTTCTTTCTAACTCTGGTGGTGCTATTTTTTTCCNAAAGAGAAAGAAATACACTTTTTTCCCCTATCATAAAAAAAGAGAGAGATGAGAGAAAAAGATGCTAATTCTCATTACCTCCACTTCTTCTTTTTTCTGCACCCAATCACCACCGCCACCACCACCACCACCTCAGCTTCAAGTGCGGTAAGTGACTGCTTCTTTTTGTACTGAATAATTCACTGCNCCCCTATCATAAAAAAGAGAGAGATGAGAGAAAAAGATGCTAATTCTCATTACCTTCACTTCTTCTTTTTTCTGCACCCAATCACCACCACCACCACCACCACCACCTCAGCTTCAAGTGCGGTAAGTGACTGCTTCTTTTTGTACTGAATAATTCACTGCTAGAATTGGCGATCGATCATTATTACTCTTTTCCTTTCTCTCACTCATTTCGGGCAGACCTGTGCAACAAACGCCTGGAGTCGACCAACTGCTGCGAGCACGAGAAGACCCTCTTCTGCAAGACCTGCTACGGGCGGAAGTACGGCCCGAAGGGCGTCGGCTTCGGCGGCGGCGCCGGCGCCCTCTCCATGGACGTCGGCGAGCACCTGGGCAACCAGAGCTGCGCCATGGGGTGAGTGGGAAGAAAGTTGGTGATTTAAAAAACCACAACAATTTTTTTTATAACACTCGATTTCTTTTTTTTTTCGTTCAGCAACAAGCCATCAGGAGTCAACAACTAAATTGAAAGAAAAATAAAGGCGGATAAAACCTGAAGATCTGATGGTCGACTTTTAAATACACTGTTCTAAACAAACACACTGACAGACAAGTAGACAGCAGCAGCAGCAGCACTTCCTGTCCAGTGAACAACAACAAAACAAAGCACAGCCTCACCATCAAATGTTGCAATCTTTAAATTACAGTTTCAAACTGCCGCTATTGCACCAACTGATCTGATCCTAAAAGTCACCAAAAAGGACACTGCAAAGAGCATCACTGACTGCACACTGTACACTGACTGTATACAACAACATCTAATCAAATTAAACAAAGCGTACAAGGCACACAAAAAGAGCCGCCGCCGCCGCCGCCGAGTTTTAAACTTCACTCGATTGGAAAAGGTCCGTTCACTCTTCACTGAATAACTTCTCCACCATCCCACATCTTCTTCCTCCTCCTTTGATTAGTCGAATGAAAGGGAAAGAGGAGAGAACGATAGAGAAGATGGAGGGGGTAATCTTTTAAAGTCAGCTCAGACAGTGCGGAAAAAAACAATGCGGCACAATCTCGGAAGGAAACAAAAACTAAGAGGAGGAGGATGAGGATGAGGATGAGGATGAGGAGGCCGCAATGCGAAAGCTGTCTATTTTCAGCTATTGACATTTATCCCGCCGCTACACAGGCAAAGCCAATAGCCGAAACACACAAAAACACAGTCAAGATAATGAAAGAGAGCTCTGCCGCCAACTAATTAAATGCTCGCTCCGGAGTTCTGGTTGTACAGCACAGCTCTCAGAGGCAGATTTTCCTCATTTTCTCATTCTCTCATTCTTCTCCTTAGCACTGTGTCAGGCAATTACCGAGCAGCAGCAGCAGCAGCAGCAACAGCAGTTTCGGTGTTTACCTAAGTCCGATGACAACACCGACGACGCCGAGAGACAGTAAATTAAGCAGCGGAGTAAAGTGAAAATGAGCGAGTGTGTGACTGGCCCGGCCTGGCCTGGTCGAGAGTAAATGAGATGCTGTGGAGAAATTGAGTGCATTATCGGCAACCAGAGAGAGAGAGAGAGAGAGAGAGAGAGAGAGAGAGAGAGAAAGTGAAAGAAACGGAGAAAAAAGCAGTGCGCACGCAATCAGTGTCAATCTGCTCAATCGGTGTGACAAGATCACGCTCGCCGATTCGACCAGTTGTCCTTACCACTACCACCACCACCAAACCTTTCTCAGCCAATTTCTTGCTTAATTGATATTAATTAGCAGTTCAGGCAATCAACACACACACATCGACAGGGGGACAAGCCAACAACCTCACCACCACCGATAGCCGATAGTTAATTAAGGTTCAGGACATTAGTGGGAAGAAGAAAAAGTACAACAGGAAAAATATCGCGGCCAATGTGCTTTCTTGGCGGTGATTCAGCCAAAATTCCCACCACCACCACCACCACCAGCACCACCAAAAAGGCTTTAACATGATCTGCTAATGAAATTACCGATAAATAAATAGGCAGTCTCACACATACTCCCTTTCTTTATATTGAGTGAGTAAACACACAACCTAACCAAAGCCAAAGTCAAATGACGCAAAGAGTTTCGGCAGTAAACGGCGACAAACGATGTCGTTTTTCTGGTGGTAGTGAACGTCAACTACCACCCACAATGTTGACCAAAATATTTTCCACGTCTTTCACTCGTGACTTGGTGGTGGTGGTGGTCAACTCGTTTCGAGCTGAAAAAGTAAGTCAAGAAAGGAGCGGTAATGCAGTAAATAACACACTGCAGTGAAGTGAAACCACGGCCACGTCAAAACTAATGCAATTGCTTTTAGTATGCAGCACACTGCACACTGCACACTGCACACACAC